AAGTCTGTGACGTCAGTGTTTGTGCCTCTAGCTGCCCTTTGAGTCAGTTAAACCTAGTCGTACAGGGGTCGATTTTTTACAGGATTTCAGCTGCATCATAAAATGTAATGTATCAACGTTTTAAATGTAGCAGGATTTTTAAGGGACAGATTGTATCAAACTAAAAGGCCCAGGCTGATACTTAAATACTTTAAAACAACTTCTTCTAAATAACAAAACAAGAGGCCCATCCCAATGGGCCTGCTTCGATTTTAACATATTTGACCCTTGTGACCCTGAAAGTGGGTCAAGGTCATTCATTTGAACATACTTGGTAGCCCTTCATCCCAGCATGCTACAGGCCCAATACCAGTACCTTGGGCCTTTTGGTTATTGAGAAGAAGTTGTTTAAAGTAAAATATTGACGCCGGACGGACGACGGCATAAGCTCACCTGGCTAAAAAGCATAGGGTGGTGATATTTTGCCAGTAGCATGCTCAGATGATGAGCTATCAAGTTTGTTCATGTGGATGATCTTGACCCACCTTAATGTCAAGTTCACATATGACCAAATGTGTATAAACCTTTATATCAATAAACAAATGATCTGGGGTGGTGATATTTGGCAAGTTGCATGCTGAGATTAAGGGCTATAAAGTGCATCCAACTTAATGAACTTGTTAGACTTTCAAGGTCACATGGGTCAGATATGTTTAAGTCGTTTAACATGTTCTTTTAAATGTCTTACAGTTATAGATGTTAGTCCACTTTAAGGTTACACGTGAGAGATTAACACCAGTTGAGCGATGCAGGCCTTGGGCCTCTTTGTTTCTATTTTGACTGGGAATTTTAAAGGATGGGGTTCACCGACTCTGACAATAATCTTGTCTTAGACTTTTGCATGTCATTATGTAATTGTAATTCTAGTGCCTTATCATATTATACATTTAAAGACTTGTTGATGAACAAATGACTTTAATTCAATTATATTAAGTCCATTCTTCAAGTACCTTAAACCCCAAACAAAAAGGCCCCATTACAATGGTATTGTAATACCATTACTTGGTGTTAAACAAAATGAAATATCAGTGAAAGCTTCACAAAATACCACACCAATTGAAAACACAAACGACCTTGAAATTACGTTGGTTATTCCATAAACAGTTAGGTGGGTCAAATAATGATTTATTTCTATGTGTCGCTTTGGCCTGCTCAACACAAAATCTAGGAATGGAGGGATATTTTTATTTGCGTATTTATTTTACGTGAATAAAACATGATATATTTGGTATCATTCATACTTCATTAAAATAATAACATACTTTAAACATTCACGGAGGTTTTCATCACCAGAAAAAAAAAAGTTTTTCCCATCTACCCTATTTTTTGGGAGAAGGAAACACACAAATATTGTTATTTGGCCTAGTCTATATATTCAATATATGATCCAGCTATAATTTATATGATGTAAAGTTAAATGACAATATGGCGATTCTATTTGTAATTTGAGTGGGACTTGCAACCCACAGGGCCCACTTGTATAAAACATCTCAAAAAAACAATCTCAAGCAATGTATTGTCTATGGGAAAACTTAGACTTGAGGAAATCTCAAGAGTTGAGATGTTTTATACAAGTGGGCCCAGGTCAATACGTTCTTCACGTGCGGAAGTAACTGAACTTCCTGTTGGTTGCCGTTAGCAACCCCGATCCCCCCTTCAGAACTACCCCATCATCAGTTTTATACTTTGTTGATTTAACAAAGACAAATTAGAGCCAGCATTTTTATAACATCATTTATTTCTTTAAAATTACGTCCTGAACATATTATAATCAACCATGTTTTCAACAATATTCAATACATACCCAAAGAAACAAGCACACATCACATTTCGCTATCACATCCGGTTAACTATACTACTATATATTAAAACACTTGAACGCCATATACCAATCATGTTATAAAATTCAAAGTGACGTCATAGTCTCTCGGAAAATCTAGCGTCATCGTATGACGATCTACATATATTTCGATGACGTCTTTAGACACACAACATTCTGCTAATGACGTAGCATTTTGAGCACCTTGAGACGTGAAATCATATATGCTAATCAAGCAGAAGAATATATGAATTCGTAAGCATTTTATGCAACTTGAAAGTTTTCTTTCTTAAACTTGATTTCTGATTTGTGACGTCATAATTGCGTCATTTACAAAAGGTAAACATTAAATAACTGTTTTAAACAAAGTAAAAGTAACAAGATTTAGAGAAGTTATTCAGCATGTTTTCTCCAAATTAACTATGGATCATTACAAATTCAAATGAGTGTTTTCTGTTCACAATAAACATCAAATAACGCTTAGCTCTGAAGCACCATTCTCATCACAAAATAATGACATCCGGTCACGCAATTCATACATCACAGGTCACGTGATATTTACTTTACGATAAGACAAGAGGCCCATGGGCCTTAACGGTCACCTGAGTCTATAGTATTTATTTTTGTTGTTGAAATATGTACCAATTTGAGTAAAAAATAGTATAATGTTAACTTAACTTTGTCAGGACCATGAGCTGATCATTCCTAGACCAATTTTAAGTGAGATCGGCCTATTAGAACTTAGTAGCAAAATAGCGGCCATGGCAGCCAAATTGTATTTCTGATTGACCCGAAAAATAACAACACTTTGTCAGGACCATGATTCGATCATTCCTACAAAGTTTCAGTTCAATCGGCCAAGTAGATCTTTACTTTAAGTTTGAAATAGTTT